GGAGATCTCCAAGGAAAAAAACCTCTCATAACTGAACGAAATAGACTGAAGAGACTTCAATTCGCTAAGGAATATCAATAAGCCAACTGATTTCTGGAAAAATGTCATATTCTCCAATGAGAGTAAGTTCAATATCTTTAAATCAGATGGCAGGAAATTAGTTTGGAGAATACCTTGTACTGCTTTTCATACCAAAAATGTGTTACCTACAGTTAAACATGGAGGAGGTTCTGTTATGATTTGGGGGTGCATGGCTAGCAAAGGAGTTGGTAATTTGTGTTTCATTGATGGGAATATGACAGCTCGAATCTATATTGATGTGTTGCGAGATAACTTGCCACAAAGTGCAATAAAATTGGGTATCACTAATTCGTACTCTTTTCTGCAAGACAATGATCTCAAGCACACTGCCGGTATAACACGTATGTGGTTGCTTTATAATGTACCCAGAAAACTTGCCACTCCACCACAATCACCAGACTTAAATCATTTGGACAATTTGTGGAATTCTTTGGATTTAAAAATAAGAAAAAGGAAGATTTCAAGTAAATCTGCCCTTAAACAAGCCCTTATTGAAGAGTGGTCGAATACTGACCCTACTGTTACAGAAAATTTAATTAAATCAATGCCAGCAAGATTACAAGCAGTAATAGATGCTAAAGGAATGCATACTAAATATTAGTTATTTGAAATTTGCTATATATATTTTATTTCTTTTGTATTCATGCAGGTGTGCAAATAATTTTTTGATACGAGATATTTTAATTTTGTTACAAAAAAGCATTGTTATTTATATTATTGTAATTTTTCTGTTTGTTTTGGATAATTAAACTTATTCTGATTTCGCAATACCCATTTTTTTATTTCTTAATGCTTCTTTTTATGAATTGCAAACATAAATGTAGGTGTGCAAATACTTTTTTTACCCACAGTATTATATATACAGCTACTAGTTACAGATTTGTTGAAGTACATGATAGCTGGTGTAATAACACACCTCTACATTACCACTTGGAAGTCACCGGTTATCAAAATTTGAGTGATAAAAATGGTGTTTTATGACACTTTATTAAATGTATACCTTCATTTTATTATAATCGCTTTTTTTTTTTATATCTGCTAAATCTTCACATTAAGAAGGAATTTGGACCAATTGCATCAGATTTTGGTGCAGACTTAATTTTTATAAGCTTTATCTGAATTTTAAATGTGCTGAGTATGGCAAAATGGACTGAAAGTAACAAAATTCCACTTTGCCAGTTTTAAATATTATGATATTAAACTAAAACGTGAACATGAAATGTAACTAGAACAGGCTAACATCTTTAGTTAACATTTAGAACTCAGCTGCTAGAATATTCCAAGTAAACAATAGTTTCATTGTCATTCTACAAAAGATACGTTTAAAGCGATACAGTAGTATTCATTTTCAACATTTTCATCACCTCGCAAAATGGGAATTTTGCAACATTAAATACAACTTAATGTTCTTAAGTTCACAAGCTTCTACATTACCAGTAATATTCAAAAGTTAATTTTTTGTGGAGGATGCACTTCTACACGAAGGCAAGCTTTTCTAAAAATCTTTTTATCAGTTCTTTGATGGGTGTAGATTGAGCCTTTTGATAATTTTTGAGAAATCTGGTTGTGTTCTACATTACTGATTGTGAAAGAAAGTATCTCCGAGTTTGTGTCTAGTTCAATAGGAAAGAGGTGCTTAACTGGTCTAAGTACAACTCCAGAGGGTATTTTCAGCTTCCCAAGGTTCTTTATATCGTCTTTACTTGCAAGCACTTCAAGTATTCAAGTCAACATCCAGTCTATTCTTTTCTTATCATTTCCGATAAAAACGGTGTCATTTACTTTAATTATTTCTATCTTATATTTTGCAGAGTTTCGAAGAAAGCCTAGATATTCCTTCTTAAAACGATTTTTAAATCCTTCTCTATTTTTTAAATATTTCTATCTATTATACTCACAGAATGAATTTCATGTCCATCATATACATTGCTACCAGTTAAACATAGGGTTTTACAGATGTCAGATCATCATATTCTTTGGACAGGTAAGGTCAAAGGTTTGTTGTCCATTAAACTTCCGAATTCACACAGAAAGATTAGAAACTTTATATATCCATAGAAAATGTGTCACAAATTTTTTCAGAGAAGTCCTTTAAAATTTTTAATAACCTCTCCCAAAATCCTCCCCACTGTGATGCTGTTGGAGGACTGAATTTCCGTCTTATTTTCATTAAAGTACATTTGTTTTCATTATCAGTTCAATCTAGTTGATTGATAGCTCTGTTTATAGATACACAATTTGAACCACTCTTCCAGTATGCGACTGTATTATGAGTATGCGTATTCATGTCGTGTATTGTGAGTATGCGACTTCAACTCAATGAAATAAAACATCTAAATGCATCTATAAAGGCATCGGTGCTCAAGGAAGTGATTAATTCAGGGTGAACGGCCCTAAAAACTGCATGCATGCCAATTACTATCCAAGCCTTTAAATTCGCTTTGAAGAAAACGGCGCTTTCAAGATCGATTCCTGTTTTTGGAACCTTTTCACTATTTTCATCATGTTCTTGTTTCATTATGAGGAAGAGTTACTTCTAAGGCCTTAAAACTGTCTGGGGTGTGGTATTTTTTACCACAGGTTGTACAGTTTTTCTACCTTTAATAATCCTATTTTTTGAAGGTGTAACACTGTAGAGAAATCAAAACTTGAGATTTCATTCTCAAAATTCCAATTTCATCAACAAAAACCTTAATATTTTTCAGGTCAGACGTTCATCATATTTTGGTAAAAGCATTTTTCTATATGAGGGAAAATAAAATTTTTCTCTCTCGACTTCTGTAATGGATATATTATCCTGATGATTTTCATTTTTCTGATAAGTGGGTCAGATCTTGACAACCAAAGCAACAGATCATATAATCATACAATATTTTTAAAATCTGGATGCAAGTTTAGCTAGAATGCTTTCAAACATTAAATTCTTCACTAAAAAGGACTATTTAGTGTCATTCTTTGTGGATTTCTTCCATATCAGGATCGTTTAAATTCAAAGTTTATGGAGGTTTTCTTTAGAAATTCAGGTACCATCCACCACAGTCATTCAGAGGAGGTTCATTTTCATCTTTGTTTGTTGTATCAAACACCAGTTTAATTTTTGTAGTGCTACATTCTTTAAAAACTATTGTGAGATAAATAACTTAGAGGTTCGTTTGGACTGAAAATAAAGGTTTATTTAGGTATCACAGGAAAAGATTATATTCAACTTAAAGGGTTTGGTGCAGTAAAACTGCTGACAGCAATTACAGCTACTAAACATACTACTCGGTTCACTTAACTGCAATGTATCTAGACAGTCTCTAATAACTGGAAGATGCATCCTTATTTATACATATATAGCTCACTGTATCCACCATTCAGTACTGGTTAATATCACGAACCTGGAGATTAACTATACATGCTTTACATATAACTTTAAAACATGAAATCATGCTATTAAATGGAAAATACTAAGTGTGCAATTATATCCACAACATATGTCCTTAATCGCACATTTAAAAATTAATTAAGATAAGTTTAAACCATATAAAGGTGTTACCTTATTAGCTTTTGCTTCATCATTGAAGAAAACTTTTATAAATTTTTATCTTTTTTCACTTTCTACTTCTAAGTTTTCTAAGTTGTCAAAAGTGAAGTAATTCTGCTTTGCAGTTTGAATGATTTATGGTAGAAATAATCGTAGAAATATTATAGCGATCTAGTTTTAAATGTTATTTCTGGAAGTACCGATTCCAAGTTGGAGAGCATAGCTCTGTACTTATCTTTTTCATACTCAAGGAGTCTAATGCTCTCAATTCAGCTTCTGTTTTTTAACTGAACTGCCGCTTTCAAGTATTCCTTATTCGTTTTTTTAATACTGAATTTAAGAGTTTTTGCACATTGTATTAAAACTTTTCCTTGCCAAATCTAGATTTCAAAAGCTCAATAACTTTTCCACAAATCTCTTTAGAGGTGGGGAACCTTCTAATAATTTATAAGCTGGTGAATTTCGTTTCATCCATTAAAGTAAATAATCAAATTTATTATCAGCCGTAAGCAGTTCATCATTATGAATAATGGAAAGTTGAGCCACAAAACCGATCCAACCTTTAAAATCCTCATCATATTTCTTTTTTAGTTTTAGGTAATCGATATTGAAGCATTTTAGAATGACACAAATGAGAAACTTCAACGTTTTCACATTTAATTAATTTAAGAAGTTTAATTAAAAAATATTTTAAAGTGTACTCATCTATCTCTATCATTTCCTGTTCAGTTTCAGCTTTTAAAATTTTTTTTTTGACTAGTTGGTCTTAATATATCTCGCTATGCATAGATCTGAGATTTTCAAATTTTACAGTAAAAGATTCAAAACAAGCTAAAATTCCACCTTTATCTTTAATTTCATTGCTTACCAAACCACTAAGTGTATTATATTCTTGGGTGAAAACCAATCCTAATACGTACTTTTCCATAATCGTAGTGCACAGTTAAAATCTGAAATGGACCTAACACCGTAGTTCCAATTAAGGCTGACTTTGATTTAAAAGTCCACTGTTTCAGCACCAAAATATGGCAGTTACCCTAAAATAAAATCCCACCTCACTTGGTTTTAAATACTATGATGTTTGAGTGAAAAGCAAACATGAAATGTAGCTAGAAGAGGCTCAAATCTTTATATGGCTAGAACTCAACTGCTAGAATATTCCAGTTAAATATTTTCATTGCCATTTTGCAAAAGATAAAAATTTAAATCTATAAAATGGTATTCATTTTCATTACTGAGCTACAAACTTCCTATATCAATAAATTGACATTCGTGCAATTATCCTATCCACACTCACTTAACCATACATTGCATAATTTAAATGTCCAGTTGCAGGGATTACTGTGTGAACAATTTGTAAAACTTCTTTCAAGCTTTGATTTCATTATTTTAGGTGCATGAGAGTAAACCCTAAAGGATTAGATGAAGAAAGTAAAGATTATGTTTCACTTTATCTTTTGCTGGTTACGAGTCACAAGTCTGAAATAAGAGCTTCCTTCAAATTTTCCATCCTTAACGCCCAAAAAGAAGAAACCAAAGCTATGGGTAAGTATTATATGGAATACAAAAATGAACTTCTAATGAAATATATTTGATATGTTGGATAAAAGGTGACCACATATTTTACTTCCTTAAATATTAATACTAGACTTCATGAAATGCCAAAGCTTTTCACAATAAAGTTGAGCATTTTATGTGAACTGTTTCAGCATTGGAGATATTGGAGTATTCTGTAAGTGTAAAGTCTAACTTTTTCTATGTTCAATGTGGATCAAAAATTTTAGTTAGTAAAATACTTTTTATGCTTTATTAAGTTACAATTTCATTTCTTTCTCTGTTTAGGTACCTATATGGCACACAAGCTGCAAGTTCTTTGGTTCGATCCATTATAACCATAAAGCTGGGGGGGGATGATTGAAAAACAAAATGCACGGGGAAGAGGGAAGGTGGTGAGAGCTCCCGAAGCATTTTTTTCCCCCTTTCATTCCAGTTTTTCACTTCCTTTACCCCTCTTTTGTTATACTGGTGTCAGGCTGTGCAGCCTTGAAAAGGAAAACCCGCATGTAAACAAGATTGCCAGATGCCAAATTCTATTTAAGGCTAAATAAAGTTTTTTTGGACTATAAATTATTTTTAATTGATACATTATTTTAACATAAAAGCTTTTTACGATATATTAAAAAAAATCTTTGAACTCGCAAAAAGAAGCATAAGAAAATGATGGATGTTGCAAAAATTTCGTAAAATCGCAAATACTAAAATTTTAGTAGCACAAGTTTGTCAAAAGTCGAATATTTGCGAAAAATCGCACGATCTGGCAACACTGTATGTAACTTGAAAAATGTGTAATGAAGGTAAATAAATTTTGTGAAAATGCTAATTTCAAGTCTTTTTTTTGGGGGGGGAGGGCGGATTCATATTATTAGCATAGCATTGAATATATTATGCATTTTTAGTTAAATTAAGACATATCTTTTGTTTTAGAAAGTCAAAGAGACTACATATTTGTCCAAGGAAAAGATTGGGGCTTTAAGAAGTTTATACGAAGAGATTACTTATTGGATGAAGCGAATGGACTCTTGCCTGATGATAAATTGACTATTATCTGTGAAGTATGTGTTTATAATTGTTAAATATTCTGCTGTTTTTTCTGTATTAAAAGAAATATCATTTAAAAATCTCTGGTACATTTATAGGTTAGGGCTTTAGCAGAAACTGTAAACTTATATGGCCACACTCGTGCCATCCCATATAAAGTTCCTGGTTGTGAGTTGTCTGCGGAAATTGGTGAGATGCTTGAAAGTAAAAGATTCACTGATTTAATTATTCGTGTGAGTGGCAGAGAGTTTCATGTTCATAAAGCTGTTCTTGCAGGTAATTATTTTGTTCTACAAGAATATTTACCATCTTTCCATAATGCAACTAACTCCCTACTCAGAGATTTTTCATAATTTAATAATTATACATTTAATTATACAATTATACATTTCTCTTCTGCAAGTTAAACTTACATTTAATACATTGTTTCTGTAGGAATGAATAATGATTTTTACAGAAAATGTTACAGCAGTTAGAGATCACAACAAAGATTTTAAATTTTAGTACCAGTTTCAAAATGGCACCCAAAGTTATGGGAAGGCTGGCAATTGTTATGTGAAAGCCCCATTTCTCTAGATAAATAGCACTCAAGTAGCATATTGAAATTGACAAATAAGCCCAATTTGTTGTGCAGAAGCAAAGGAAAAGTTCATAGATTCTTTGCATTAGAGGAGGTATGCTATAGGTTAGGCTGGAGAGGATTGAATTTTTAATTTTATAAAAAGCTTAATGTATTTGTATACATAATAGATTCTTATAAATTTTAAGTGGTTTTGATATGCAATTATATTACTCAGAAGAGGTTTAGAGCATCTTACGAAAAATTCATTCATTCTTATGTATAATTGCTAATACTTCACAAAATATGAATCCATCATATGATACGTGAACACCTGGTCAGTGTTTGACATATTTTGCTTTATTATAATAAGTTGATTTTTAAAAATTTAACTGAATAGGTTTATTAATTAAGAGGCATGTATTGAATTTTCACAGAAATACTGCACATATCTTCAGTTAAAAGTAAGACTATAAAGGCAAATAGAACCTAAAACTGCACTTTTAATTTATTTCTCCTGTTTTTCTGAATCTCATGTTTGAATTTTCCTTTGAATCTATTTTCACTTATGACATGATTTCACGCAAAATTTTATCATGCATGTATCAAAAATTGGACCAGATTGTGTATAAATTCTGTGTATTGTAATAAATCCTTAGAAATAAAACTTGTTAAATACAGAGAATGAAATAAAGAATTGTGTTTAGAATGCTTTAAATAGTGTGTTGACCTGAGAGTATTTTTCAAAAATGTACTGTACTTATTTGCCATATAAGTATTTTCGAGTTTATAGTGAAGCTATCAGTAAGTAAAATGTACTGAACTAGATTTGAAATATGGGTATGAAGTATGTCTTAGTAAAAATTTCTAGTGACAGTATAAATGTTTGATCCTTTGCATGGAAATCTGATACTTATCATAAAAGAGATATTATTATTTGTTAGCTAATGACATCAGTATTTATGTGTGTATATTAATAAATTGGTTTAGATTATGTGTGTTCATGTTTATACCGTTTTCCACTTTGTTCTAATTTATTTTTAATCTTATAGCACGAAGCCCAGTCTTTGCTGCCATGCTCGAACATGATATGGAAGAAAAGAAACAGGTAAACTTCTGTAATGTGTATGCATCAGTAATTTGTTTTTCAGTCATACATCTTAGTTACCCAAATGATTTGTTTTTAAAGCAATTTGATGTAATTTAAATTTAATTTGTAAGTAACTTAAAAGTTAAAAATTTCATATTTGTCATGAAATCTGAACATTGATGAATGGTAAAATTTTACATGCATTTTACTGCGTGTTATAGCTGAAATTGGAGCAAATTTCAATATCGCCATCTCAAACATATGAGCAAAATATAGTTTAAACCTATATCTTCAGAAGCACAGTTTTACATGTAAGATAAATTTTTACAGTTATCTGTTTTGAAGATAAATTTAGGAACTTAAAAGTGGAGATGAGGGAATATTTCCACTCATAATTGCGATGCACTGAGAACAATCTTGAAGTTAAAGTTGCGAGCAACAGATGATTTCTTAAAGCAGAAGAAAATTAATTGTCTGTACTTTTCCTGTGTGTGTATCATATGAAGGTATATAATGGTCGTCTTCAATCAAGATTTCATACTCCACTGTGAAATCATGTTTAGGCATTGCAGCATATCAAGCACACTTCTGTGATACAGGTCTATAAAAACTTATCTTGTACTATGATAAATGCTTCAACAAGAATGTAAACTGTGCAGAAAAGTAGCTGAAGGTTTGAAAATATGAGAAAAATAATTTCCAAAATTATCAGTAGTTGTGTCTTTTTTTTTTTTTTTTTTTGGTGTGTGTGTGTGTGTGTGTGTGTGTGTGTTTCAAAATGGTCCTTAAAAAATCTGTCTTATATAGCATTCTTTTTGTGGTGAGCAGCAGAAGTGTCCTTGGAGAGTTCATTTGTTTCATATGGCTGTCTTAATATTTAAAATTTATGCAGTGGCTAAATCACTAATGAGGTAAAGAGATATGATTCTTATTTAAACTCTGCCTTCTTCCTTGGTTTTTTTTGAAAAAAACTTAGGCTCTTTGTTTTGCTTTATAAACGCTTCAAATAATCTATAAATCTACAACACACGGAAATTAAAAGTAATAATAATGAAGTCTTAACTGAAAGTAATTTGTGAAGATATTTCTGTAAATTATTTTTAAAATCTAACCCACGGTTTCAGTATTGGAATTGCAGGATAAGCAAATCCCCGATTGGAATGATGCCTGTTTTACTCCTATGTAGGCCAAAACTGCACAGAAAGCTAAGAAATTTTGTGTAGATATTAATCTTGAAGCAAAGGCTTTGTTCAGAAATAAGATAACTGAATTATGTTGGCAAAATGGCTTAATTTGTTTTTGGAGTGAAAAATGTAGAAAATCAAGTTTTTATATCTGAGAATTGAAAGTAACATCTTCCAGTTGCTAGCTGGATGTGCTAGCCATTACACCATGACACACATGCCTTTATTTCCTTACACTGAATGCTACTGAAGAGCAATTGAGAAAGGAAGACTTAGTGTGCAAATCAGTGTGGCGATGACTTATCTACCATGTCTCAGTTTGGGTTCCAGAGTCATTCAGTATTCTATCAACAGGAATTTTGAAAAGTTGGTCTTGTCCTCATTGAAAACTGAACCGAAAATCTTCTAAAAAGGGAGGAATGCCCTTACTCTTCACAATGAAATAATTAATTCTAATTATTGTAAAATTTGCATAACAATGCTGAGCTTTATTTTAGCATTTCCCACTTCAAATCTAGTTGAAATTGAATTAACTGCTTGAATTACACTGATAATTAAGCTCTGAAGCATGCTGAACTAAGAAGAAAAAGAATGTATTATTAAAAATTACAAATCATCAGCCCAATATAGATGATCTAGTTTAAAAGGTTTACCAAGCCATCTTTCACATTAAAAATCATTTAGCTCTGTGTAATCTCATGCTTCTTGGTTAACTGCTGCTATTCTTTTAACTTTATTATGCACTGTCATAATTACTACTATTCAGAAGAAGAACCTCTCAGTAGCTGAGTGGTTAAGACTTCAAAACCTGGCTGGCTGTGTTGTAGGTTTTTGAGATTTTTTCCCTGTGTAATATGAATACAAAAAATATTATGAAGACAGGCATCTCACGGGCAGACAGCTTTTGATGCTCAGACAGCTCAGAAGAAAGTATTAAGTGTTAAACATTCACTAGTATCTCTGAATTATAGCTTTTAAAAGAGTTGTTGAAATAAAAAGTTGGACAAACACTCATCTACAGCTTCAGTATGAGATCTCACAGCAGCAAATGAAAGCATATACACTATTAGTGTCATTTAAACGTAAAGTTCTGCCTGAGATAGAACCAGTAAGATGTCTGACTTTTAAAGAATTTGAATATTTTAAATGAACTGAAATACATTTACTAATCATGAAAGAACTTGAATGAAATATTCTTATACATGTGTAACACATTTTGTAACTGTTAGGTATTATAAGCCACTATTTATCTACCTTTTTTGATATCGTAAGAATTTTATTATAAATTTTGCTAAGTTGGTGTAAGTAAATTGAAAGTATTTCAGTAGTCTTAGGATAATTCTTTAGAATTCCAGTCCAATTCTAAAAATGAATTTCCTTAACTCTGTTATTTTGCACCTAATCTTAAACTATAAGAAAAGAGGTTTCTGTACAAATTAGATATGCATGGAAGGATTTTTTTTTTTTTTTCAGATCAAAAATAGGAACTCTCATTTAGCAATCTTCTGTAGTTTCAGTTAAACAGTGACCTTTTTTAAAGCTGTACAAGAACACTGAATTACATCTGAACTAATCTGATAATCTGTAATAATACTGAATCAGATGAAGACCAAGTAGCAACAATGAGAAAAAGAATAAAGCTTTAAAAAAATTAGAACAAAAGCTTAATAATAAATAGCTTTTAAGAGAATATGTGGTCTGTATCAGTTTGCATTTCAGTAGTGGGTTTCTTGCAGTCATCACAAGCTAGGAACAGATTTTCTGCAGTCATCCATCTTAAACACATATTTCAATAATCTTCAGTTGCCTACTTTGTGTAAAAATCTCATTGTAGTTCCAGAACTTATATACATTGTGGGATTGCCAGCAATGTGTATTATGAAAATATATATGTGCTTCTCAATAGATTATTTTTAATTACATTCAATCAGTTTTTACATCATGTGTTTCCAAAGTATATTTTTGTAGCATTGTTTTTAAAACCATGGAAAATGCAAAGAGGAGTCATTTTCATTTTGCGGAAAGCAGTATGAAAACTTTAGAAATTGTTCAACATCTGTGAGAAGTATTCTGTTCGTACATTTGAAGAAACCTTTATGAGGTGTTCCAATTGAGAATTTAACCATGTCATAAATAGGCAGATTGAGGAGACACCAAAAAGTTTTTTTGAGAATGGTTTAAAAAAAAATTATTTTTGTGTTTGGACAAGTGTATTCAATTAAATACAGATTATGCTGAAAAACTGCATTTTAATATTGAAGAAAATTAACAAAATAAAAAATGTATACCTAAATTTTTAGAACTCTGGAAACATCCCTTGTATACACTGTTCATCTATATGTTTTACACAAAACTGTTTTTGTAAATTATTTGTTAGGTAGGTTGTAATTATAGGACCTCCTCAGTGACTTTAGTATTCAATTATTATCTTGTACATCATTTCATTGTTTGGGCTACATTATAACCCACTTCAAATTCATTTATTTTCCTTTTGTATCCCTGTCTGCCTCATGCCTACCATTGTTGGCACCAAATGATATAGAAGAGATTTTTTTTCTTATTTTACACTCAGGCAAGGTAGCTGCCTGAGGGTAAAATTTTTCTTGCATATAGCCTAGTAGCTCTTTGAAAATCTGTTTACTGTCTAAGCAGTCAAACTTTAAACAACATGTATTTTCATGTAGTTTTTAACTTTTGGTACTTGTGTATATTAACTACATTGCCAGCTCTCCCTGTGATGTGGCCCACCAGTAGCCAAATGGTTATGAGTGCAGAATGCTGGATTTTGACTTAGATGAATGTGCTGGCTTCATGATTAGTTTTCCCATGTGTAACGTGAATATGAGTCAATTTCTTTTTTAAAGTTACCCACGAAGGCATCCCTCCCTTTGGGCAGATAGTCTTCATGTGCTTTGCCATATTCAGAAACCTAAACTTACCTCTCTGTGCTGTGTACACTTTACCTATTACTTATACACTGAAGAGCCATTACCTTATCACTACTCTGTTAATAACATGTAGGACCACCTTTAGCCCTCAAAACTGCCAGCACTTGGTGTGGCATTGACTCCATAAGTGCTGATAGGTAGTCTGAGTTATCTGGTACCAAAGGCTTATCAATTGGTCCTGCAATTCCTGCCAATTGCGAGGGAGTAGCATGCAGCATTAATTTGGTTTTCCAGGTGGAACCACAAATGCTCTTACTGGATTAATGTCAGGGGAATTTGGAGGCAAGATGTGACATGGAAGTTATTGGAATATTCCTTGAACCACTTCCTGGCAATTTAACCCTTATAACATGGTGCAATATCCTGTTGGTAAACGCCATCCCCCTCCGGAAATACTGTTGTCATGAATGGGTGAATTTGGTTTGCAGTGATGTTTACATAGCGCACAGACTTCAAAGATTGTTTTATGGAGATTATGGGTCCTAATATACTTCATGAAAACATTGCCCACACCATAATACCCCCACCACCGGCTTGTCTCCATTCAGCTGTGCATCCAGGAGCCAGGGTTGCATTTGGAAAATGGCATATTAGCACATGCTCATTGAGATGATGGACCAGAATATATTGATTTGTCGGACTATGCAACTTTTATCACTGTTGTAGCTCTTCAGTCAGGGCGAACAATGGATAGCAATCTCTGCTTTCCTCTGGAATCAATACGCCATCTACGACACACTGCTGACCACCGATAACGATTTGACCTTTATCAAAGTCTGATAAATCAGCTGCTTTTCACTTATGTTGCTAATCACACTATGTTTGAAAAGACAGTGCATAGCCGCTTTATGTACTCCAACATCATCTGCGCATGCACATTGGTTTTGTTCCAGGGCGAGCCCATTGTTATAGATAGAAGATGGTCATAATGTAATGGCTGTTCAGTGTATATGTGATTGCCATCTAAATTTAGTATCTGTAATGGCCTTTATACTTGTTTTGTATTCATTGTATATAGATGGAGAGCTTAATATATAGTAAAGCAACAAATAGATACTTTTTAAATAAGCTGAGTGTATTACTGTTGATTGTTATTTGTCTATTGTTGTCAAATCCACAACATTCTTTTGATATTTTACCATTGGCACAGATAGCAATATATCATAGGCTTATCGTATAACCATAACATAATTAGTATTGCATGTGTTCTCAAATATTACTTTCTTCTATGTTTCATATTTCTTATAATTTAAATATTTGAATATACTTGATTTCAAATACTTATCTGACATGGACTTTTAGTTGTGACAGTATGTTTAGCCGACATTTAGACAGAAACATATGGCAATATTTTAATAAAATTGTCCACATTGGTCTAATAATTTAATATTTCTGGCGAGTTTCAAAACTCGCAGATACTTCATAAGTTCAACTTCCAAATCATTTATCAGTAAATCAGTAATCTCATCTATCAGTAAATTTCATTATTTGATTCTTAGAGATCTCACTTCTGATTTTAATACCTGCAGAATTTTAGCATATCATATCAATATGGATGACCAGATAAAAGCCTACTGCACAGAAAACCTTCTTCCTCCCAAAAATTTATGATTACCTATGCAACAAATATCTGTATGGATGAAACAAATTTCTAAAAACCCACACTGACCCATGTGGATGTATATGCTGCGTAAAGACAACTTTTCCATTATTTTCAGCTATTTTCCATGCATACTACTTAGCTAAGTATGTTGTTTCATTTTTTTGGAGCATTGGTATGTGATTTGAGTAATTTTTTAACATAGTGAAAACCCTAATATGAGTGAGAATTGTGAATATTTGATTACATTGTTTTTCTTTTAAGATGATTAAAATAAGCATCTACTGATATATAAACATTTTTTTAAAGTCAATTTTTTTAAAAAAGAGGATTTTGAAAGGTACATCAGGAGAAACGTGTAAGTGTAATTATGATTAAATTTATAAAGAAATGGTAACATATATTTAGTCTAAACTTCTAAGTGCATTATGGTTATTGTACTTGTGCATAATCTACATCAACCTAAGATAGCTTTTCTGTCTAATTTTAAAATTTGTACTCTTTAATGCCACAAGACCTAAATATGATACTTGCCCATAAACCTTCTTGTTGCGTATCATGGAAACTGCTTTTTGTCAGAAAAATATCAACAAATTTTACTAAAGTATTGCATGTTTTTATCTAAATAGCATAATTGACATTGTCTTGTCAGCTAAGCATGCTATAAATTTAATGTCTGTGTCAGCTAAGTGACACAGACCCCCCCTCCCCAGTAACATGTCTTCTAATGACCGAAATTAGCTGTGGCTACAATAATCATTATCTGTGTGTATTTTATTGAGATTTTTTTTGTTTCACTTCATTACTAGTCTCATTCCCATAATAAATTTTTCAAATAATTATACAGTATTTACAAATTGCTTGTAAGCTCTTTGTAGTCGTAAATGCTGTTCCCAAACTTTGTTGATATTGAAGTGTGATGCTTTGTCCTTCATGCTTTTGAAACAAAAATACCAGTACATTATTTATGCTCTATCTAAATTTTTGTGGTGCTAAACTGCTCTTAAGCTATCTTAAACAAACTCAACTTACAGAATCACCTTTTGAAATTAGGTAGTTTACTTTCTGTGTTAGTGTCACATATTAGTGCAGATATTTTCTTATTTACTCTGCATTAGTTGCCTTTTAAGACTCCAAAGCTAATTATTATTATTATTTTTTTTAATTTTGCATGTACTGTAACATAACAGTGTATGTTTGAATATTTTATAATTAGGCAATCTGTGAATCTCAGTAAAGTTCCTGCATATGTTCTGGTAGTATAGTTATACATTTTTATATGTAAAAAAAGTTTTGCCAACTTTGTTGATGGAAGTAAATTCCTTTAACAATCTAATGGCATATGATTTATCATTCAAAGAATTCTTTGAAAATTTATCTTTCCCCCTTCATAATTTCAACAGCTGAAAAGAAGCAGAAAAGAAAGATCATTCTGTAAAAAGGAGAGAATATATAATCATTGTTTTTAAACTGAAAATGAAATTAACAGTTCTACAAGGTAATTTAAATAATAATGTATGAAAAGGAGCTGTAAAATTTGTAAAATCTCAAGTTCTCTATACTGACGTTATTAAATGTTTTTTGGCATGGTTTTCCAGTTTTTGGCTGCTTTTACAGTAATTTTGTTGTTAGTTAGTTGAACTGTTTATTGCCCTCCTGTCGTATTACTCATAATACTGCGTAGGTTATTGTTTTGATTAGGTGGTGTACATTAAGGAACTGTCAAAATATTTCTTGAACTTCATTTGTCAAAACACCAAGGAGACTAGCCAAATTCATCGCATGATCTTGCTCGCATATTTTTGTTTTAACTGTAAATTAATGTTCTGGTTTTGTAACTTCGAAGCAAGATATGAAAAATACTTCTATACCACATTTAAACATGTATGATTAAAGGGAGGAAATATTTATTTTTATTTGTTAATGCTTTTTCATTTGTTCCATTTTGCCTGGAAAATATTTACTATATTGTGGACAACATTGTTGGTATGTAGAATGATAAAAGTACATAATGCGTAACCGTCTTGAGCAGCATGTGCTCAAGCAAATGCCGTGTAGTCAACCTTTGAATACATATAAAGCTTTTAGATTTCAATTAATGTTCGTTATTTGCTTTAGGCACTTTGATAATAATCTTGTGTAATTTTTTATTTTATTATCAGTAGATGTGATAACCTAGAAATAATCTAATTTAATTTTATTTATCCTGTTAATTGAATATACAAAATGATTCAAATATGGAAATGTGTTTAAAGTAAATGTGTGCTGTTGTATATTGTAGAAGGAAATGATGAATTATATTATTCTGCATCAAATATTTAAATTTGGAATTTTATATTTTCATTTCAAATAAGTCACATGTCTACATTATACATGAGCCAAGATGGCACTGAATATGCAATAGCAAGTTATTGCTGCAACAGGGCATTTGCAACTGCAAAGCTGTTAGTATTGTGCAGAATAATCCTGAGACTGTGAAGGTGAAAAGACATGATTGTAATGCAGCGTATTTGTTGTCAACTATGCAAAAGTATAGAAAATGACTGCTTGCAGTGAGAAAGAAAATAAAAACGTTCTGAATGCAGCTAAAGACTGGAGATATTGAAATGGGGAGGAGTTTGAGGAAATAAAGTGAGCCATTGGTATTGTTATGTATTGTCCTTAAGTTTGAAAATTTGACTTTCGTTATGCTCTATCTCATTTACCCAAGCCATAAAACTATCATCTCTTGATGCAATAAATATGTAACTGTATTTGACTCATCCTGTATTAAAATATTACTTTCTAAAACAGTTCTTTTAGAAAAATATCACTTTGACAGATTGAATTAAATGGTTGTAAGCATTAGTTGTAAAACTTTTTACTTAAATTCTTTTCTTTTTTCCTAGAATAAAGTTGATATTATTGATATGGATCCTGATGTTATGGAAGAAATGCTGCGATTCATATATACAGGGAAATGTATTAAATTGAAGAGTATGCCTAATGATTTGTTAGCTGTTGCTGAGAAGGTGAGTGAATATATTTATGGTGTGTTGATTGGAATATGCATATGCTATGCTGGAATGGATTTTGAACTAAAAAAAAGTTTTGTAATACTGTGGAGATGAAAAGCTGACATTGTTCAATTTATTTTCCATTAATTTTTTTTAATTGCTTTAATTTATGAGATTTGTTTTTTGGAAATCCAACAGTAGCATTTTAACCCTTTGTATTCAGTTATCACCTCAGATAGGACATTGCAAATCTAGCATATCACTCAGATTTTCTCTTTCAGGGGCATTAATGTTTGGTAGTGATTATGCAAGGAAAACTTGTGCCAGCCAACATTTTAAAAAATGCTTGGCTTCTTAGAGCTTTCCATTGAAGTGACATAAAATATCCAAACCGAATATTTGTATACAAGGTATATAAAAACATATCAGTTGGTGCTTTATTGGAAGAGAAAGTGTGAAATTTATTCATGGTATGGTTTTAATTGCATATTAAAGAAAAGCTTAAGAATATTTATAAGCTTGAAAGTATGCATAGTAGACTTGTTTACAATCTGTGGAGGCTATTGTATAGTTCAGAAAAATAAGCGAGTTTAAAATTGTAGCATATAAGAAAAAGATCTTGATAGCTGAATGCAATTTTAGTATCAAATGATATAGATTGATACTTGCACAATGTTTTACATTTATTGATAAATTTTATTATCTAATTTCATAATTAATAAACAAGGATTTTGTGTACTTGTGCAGAAAGAGGCTTGCATGTCAACTGCAAAAAAGCTCTGAGTGCAAAGAGATAGATTTGGGTACTTCTTGTGCTTTGTTAATAATTGTAAAATTATGTTTAATAATGTATTCAGATGATAACACAATTTTTTAAACTGTGAAACTGTTTAATTTTTTATCAGAATGATGCATTTAATAAGTCTCTTCTGGTTTGTTTTATATTGATTATTTTCATTTCATTTTTAGTATTCCTTAGAGAGACTCAAAGCTATGTGTGAAGAGGAATTGTATAAAAATATAACTGTAGACAGTGTTGCCAATCTTCTGGTATTGGCAGACTTTCACAATGCTGGTCAACTGAAATCTCATGCTATAGATTTTATTATCATGTAAGTTGTAAATATGCTATCCTGCTTTATCACCTAAAACATTTTCACTGTTAATATTTTATTTGTTGATTATCAGCTTTACATTTGTTTCAAAAGAACTGAGCATTTTGGAACATAACTATCACATTTAATAGTGTTAAGTAATTAGTCTTAATAATTATTCCGTTCATTTGTGAAGTTTCCCTCGAAAAATTAAAGCTGTTTTTTTTTTTTTTTTTTTTTTGCAATTTTAAAGCTAATTAAAATATTAATGTACATTGCAACATTTCAAGTCTTTATTTTTTTTTTTTTAAATGTTGACTCAGTTTTAGCTGTAAAAAGAAATTATAGTTCCTTTGTTGTATTTTGAATATTCACGAAGATTCATAGCTTACTTCCATATTTGAAGTGACCAATGGGTAACTTACATTGTAATCTTCAAAACTAGCAGTTTTTTATTATGTTTATTAATTTTCTTTCCCAATTAATGTTACTTTTCTCTAGATATTAAAAACCTCATAGATCTGTTTTTTCTTTTAATATGAATTCAGATCCTAACCCTTAGGAGAAGAGCTTTCAAACTGGATTATTTTTCAGTGAATGTTTTTGTTTGGGTATGTCTACATTAAATACTAAAATGTCCATATATTATGTTATTTATGTTATTATTAAATAGGAACTATGTTTATGAGTCAGAACTTCTACAGCCATTTAATTCCCCCCCCCCAGTAGTGTGTGTCTATTATAAAAAGTTAAATCTTAGTTTTTTAAGAAGCAAAATAAGGTAGTTAAGATACCAATATTTTAAAATTAAAAAAATATATTAATATCTGTACTGCCTATATAATATGTATTCTGTTTGGCTGACTATAGACTCTAAATACTGTAGATTTCTGGTAGTAATTTGAACGGAAATTCCGTAAAAACTGTGAGCTAAGGAAAAATGGAAAAAACTGCGTATTTAGAAAAAGAGAGCAAGGAAAATAAATACTGAATGCAATGAAACTAATTTATTCATCTGATAATTAGTGAAATGACTGTCGCATTATGTATCATGTGGTAAGTTGATAGTTTTTGTGATTTTGAAGAGAGTCGGTCATAGATCTGCAAATTTTTGTTAATTTTCCTAATAAGCATTCTGGAATAAAAGGCTTGTTTACCCTGCAGGTCTTTTGGTCCTGTTCATTTGGATTGTGGTGATGAATTGTATTGCATGTTTCTTGTGAGTTGATTAAAGTTTTAAAAATTGGTGAATAATTCCATTTCAAACTTAAAGGCTAAAACTGTTGAGTCAGAAATTAAAATACTGATGACCTACAGAATTTCCATGCATTGAAGCATCTACAGTATCTGTAAATCATGCACATTGCAACAAAGACTTCAGCTGCAGGTGGTGGAATAGATGACTGTAAATGGCATCTATTTTCTGAAAAGCATGCGAAAATTAATGCAGTGAGAAATATCACATTTTTTCAAAATTTTGAAATGGATGTTAGTAAAACTGAATGCTATATTCAAGTTTTTATTAAATACAACCTTCCAGTACAATTTCAGACCATTCAAAGCAACTTTTTAATACAGTGTTTCCAGATTCTACTCCAGGAAAAAACAATTAGCTATTGACAAACCAAAAGTGCTGGAATTTTGAAAATGTGTGAGGAAAATACTGTTGCCAATATTGTATAATCAGTATGCAATCCATCAATTTCTGTAGGTATTGCTGGAAATAATAGCAAAGTGCACTCTTTGAATGCAATATATTATAGAAAAGAAAAATCTGTAATATTCATTTCATCAGTTTCTATTTTAGAATGCACAAATAATACCGGAGAAGATATTTTTAATTGTACAAATGAGTAGTTTATGAACAAAGATTTAAATGAGAAAAATAGCTTACCATTTTCTTCAGACAGTGCTAGTAATATATTGGAAACATTTCAAGTTGCAGCATCACTTCTCAAAATCCACAAACCAACTGTAATCAAATGTAATCAAGTTGTTCATGGCACCACTTGCATATAGCTGGGAAGGGAAATGCTGCAAAATTGGCTCGGAAATATTGAGTCATTCGGAATGATCTGTGGATTTTGGATGTCAAATACAAATGAAGCAATACAAAAACCTTAGATTTCATTGAATCACATAAGCACCATTTTGTTCTATGTCTTTTTTTTTTTTTTTTTTTAAATCTCTCTGGCAACTGCAAAATTCCTTTCTTAAAAACAAAATTGGGTTTATTCTTAAAGAAGTCATTGAAGCACTGTGTGACTATTCCCAAAGAAGTGTATTCGAAGTCATTCAGAGAATTTTGAAATTATCTGCCATTTCAAAAAAGGAGCTTATTTATTTTCAGCAAAGAGCCCCCATGCCAAAATGCAAGCAAGCATATTCTGCTCTGTTAAAATACGGAGTATCCATACATCATAACATCTTTACACACCCAGTCTTCTTCAAATGGAGTCTGTTGGGTAGTTCCTGAGCTGTATAACATGAATTTTGAGCAGTAATATCTTTTAAATAGGTCATTGTTTGCAGAGGATGGTCATCCAAACTGGGTGTCATCTTCAATGCTGAAATTTCCTTAATGAACTTTGCAAACCACCTTCAAACTGTATGATCAGAAAAAGGACTTTGTCAATATGCAGCTACAAGCAGTCCGACTACCAATTTTTTTTTTTTTTTTCTTTCTGTAAATTAAAGAGCACAGTATAATGGAAATAAAATTTAGGTTTTCCATTTATAGCACTGCCCTGAAAAAAGTATGTCACAACATATGCTAGAATAATGGAAGATGAGCATGAAAGACCATATCTAACATTTGCCTTGATGAAGGTCGCTCCTTTTCAGCCATAGCAAAATAATTGGAAGAAATCATGCTGTGAATTGAAAAACCATAGAAGTTTTTGAATGACTAAATAGTTATATATTTTTATTTAGAGAGAAATTCAGAAAGGGAGCATAAACTTGTTCCGCAAATTTGGGTGCAGTCTCAAATTAATTGTACGTGTCATTAAGTTTTAAATGCTGCAGTACATGATGGTTTCTTTTTAGTCTATAATAAGAATTCTGAACAGTGGAATGCTCTCATTAATTTTTTCATCCTGAATCAAATGGTAATGAAAGTGAAGGTAGAAAGGTTGCAGAAAAAATTAAAAAATATTACAATCAAGTACCACCAAACAATATTTGTTATTTTGAAATATTCATGAATTGAGGCGAAAAACTTGTTGAGCTTTTAATAAGTTTGATGGATTTGTAAAATCATAAGTAATTTTTGGAGATGCAGAAATTAGTCTTAACATCTGTGACATTTCAAAACATAATAAACTAAAAGAAAATGAAAATTTAGTTATGGGTGCAGTAACAAAATTATATTTAAATAATTATATTAATTTTAGATCAATTCCCATTAGAATGAAAGTTAAGTAAAATTATTTTTTAATTCAATAGGAAGTTTTTGGTAACTGAATGCTTATATGTAATATAAAATATTAGTCTAAAACTGGGTTTCTAAAACATTTTGGTGTGTGGACAACATAACATTACGAAAATTTTAGAGGACCCTCCCCCCATAAGCATTGCGCAAGTCCGACACATGTGTGAGTATAACTATCAGTTTCTTCACTTGTAATATAATATATTATTGCAGTGTTGGTTCATTAATTTTAAAAATAAAATGAACATATACATTATATGAAAATAGTTGGTAATTGTAAAAGCATTATAATAAGAAATATCAGAATTGCTAAAAATTTTGGTGACCACCCTGTTGCAGGTCCCGTGACCCCAACTTGGGTCATGACCCACAGTTTAAGAAACTCTGGTCTAAAATAATGTTTTTAAAACATGCTGGAGTTCGTGTCATTAACTTAAAAAATTGTCATTTTTGGCCATTCATTTCATGGTCAGCACTTTTCCATCCGTTATGGATGAAAATTATTTTGATCTTGTAGAAACTGAGTTTTCTAAATATCAAATAGGTAATTTAGAAAAAGTTGCAGATTTGTGTACTGATGGGAGAAATTGCAAAATTAGGAGATGTATTAATTCATTAAATATCTTAATACAAATTATTGCTCATTGTGATGTTTGGCATTTTGAATAATACCTGATTCAAATGCAAATTTTGAAAGAATTTTTATATTATCAAAAAGAATCAGACTGCTCTTTTATCAAAATTCAGTACAAAACTGTTAAAGTAGAAGAGAAACACGCCAATGTGACAATCAAAATCGCAATAACAACATTGTATTTCGTGTACATTTATTAAAATACTCAGTCGAATTCGAGGGCAGCTACAGGTCCCTCCTCATCAGGAAAACGGAATTACTAGAAAGGGAAAGCCACCTCTGTAACGGCTTTTTATACCCTCTGGTAGTACCATGCGCGAGGAGGCAACGCCATCTATCGACAAAAATTATAACCCAGAATTAACTGTTGTTGACTAAAAAAAGCATTTCTCGTAGAAAAAGTAAATACACAGGCAAATGAAGAATTGTGTTACAGTAAAAGATTCTCTAACTGGGAAAACTTGTTCAATGTGCTTCTTAAAATTCATTTGAGTTCATAATTTATAGATATTATTAGTATTTTTGATTATGAATATATGTACATTTTTTGCCTTTTGGAATTAAAGTATTTTTATTTCCCAGTAGAAATCAAAATCCATATAAACCTCATAATGATAAATGATTTATGGATTCTGATTTCCCTTTCGTATGATTAAATGTCATTTAAAATACTCACTTCGAAAATATATTAGTACATTTAATGATATTTCTACTTGAGTAGTAAAATGCAAATTTCCTATTAAGCATGCATATAACTTATAAGAAGTATATTTAAAATTTTTAAAGTTGTGAAACTGTCGTTTGTGCATTGGTTACTGAAAGTTTTGCTATAGGTTGAAGTCTATGCAGACGTTGACTAAACCCATGGCATACTGGTAGTTTATGCAGACGAACCCATGGCATACTGGAATTCATAAGTTTGGAGCAATGGTCTGGCTATATTGATGTTTATGTGCTTTAACCCTATTTGGAATGTAACTTGATGTTCACCTGAATGTGCATTCTGATAAGTAAATAACCAAACAGCTAAATATTAGTCATACATTTAGTCTGTCATTAACTGCTATTTTGTCTTATAATGTGACGATACAAAGTGAAATTATGTGACGTAATGACGTAGTGACATTTTTGATGTAATTTTTTAAAAAAAATTCTAGGTGCATTCAGTCTATGTAATTTTTTTAAAAAAAATTCTAGGCACATGTTACATAGATAAATTTATGGGAGATAAGAGTAAATGTTTTAAAATCTGTTTATGCAACCCTTTAAAATTTCAGGAAGCTGTCTCCCCCATGGTATCATTTTAGATTTACTTGATTTGGAATTACTAATGCTTGTTCAAAATTATTCAACACTGATGATGTATAGATCTTGTATCTTAAAGAATATTACAAGAATTTACCTATACACCCTCTCATGATCTTGTTATTAAATTGTTCAACATTAATATTTAATTTTTACGTAGTTGAATAATTTTATGAATTAATTCAGAGCTGTACTTTCATTTATGCGGATGCTTTTAATATGGTCTTGAATTGCTTATTTTCATTTTCCTAATGATCCTTGCTAGACGTAATTAAACTACTTCTGTCATTTTATCTCTGCATTTAATGTTCATTTTCATTTTACGTAGAATGTCTTGATGTCTAGATGCTGCATGTAATTATACTCTTTTGTATGTATATTAACTACTGAAACATTATGCATTTCAGGCATGCAGTAAAAGTGATAGAAACACCAGGATGGAAAATAATGGCTCAAGCAAGACCACAATTAGTTGCTGAAGCTTACAGGGCATTAGCTACACAAAAAGTTCCTTTTATGAATGGCCCACGAAAACGTACAAAACTTTAATTTTATTGGGGCAACTGGTCTAAGACTAAATGTGATATTTGACATTTTTGTATTATGTATAATCTATTCATATAAATATTTCATATTGCATTCAGGAATGTGTTAAAAGAAGTTCATCAGTAGCAGAAAATGATAAATTTTGCTTTGTTTTGAGGTGTACAGAATATTCTTCTGTTTATAAACATTTGCTGCTTGGAAGGACTAAAATTCAGATTCATTTTATTCTTATAGTCCTGTTATGTACAATGCATGGATGTACATATGTCTTCATAAATTTGAGGTGCAAAGCCTACTTGTATCTCCCATCTCTGGAATCATTTCACTTTGTATCGTGACATTATAAGCTATCACATAGTTTGATGTGTGTATAGCCATATTTATTTTTAATACTATATTTCATATTTTCAGCCATACAGAAGTTCCATAATTTGGCCAGTATATGGCAGAAATCATCTAGACTATTTACTTTTAATAGAATAATGCATTTTATAATTCTTCATGTTCATATCTTGTATACCACTTTTAAACTTTCTTGAAACCAAGTATGAAGGAATTAAAAAAATGTTTTGAAGGAAATTGAAATTAGATTTAAATGTATTTAAAAAAATGAATGTATTTTTCTGGTTTATTTTAATAAGAAATGTATTAGAATGAAAAGATAGAAGTACCTGAAATTATTAAATTTTCATACTTTAACCCTCTGACTGCTCAATTTGTAGACCGAAATCGCTTCCAAAATTGAGGGTTTTTTTTTTTTTTTTTTTTTTTTTTTTTTAAATTTTAAATTTATATATATAGGAGAATTGAAAAATGCACTTTTTCTTTCTAGAAAAATTTTTTTATATAGATTTTTATCATGAGAAACTAAGTTGCCAGAAAAACCAATTTCAGATGTTATCACAAAAAAAAATCTTTTTTTAATAAATTCAGTCGACTTACAGTTAATTTCTATTTATTGCATAATATAAAAAAGTAAAATGTATAAAATGTAAGAAAATATAAAGCGCTGAGGGAAAAATACCTTAAAAATGCAGTTTAGTATGATAAAGTTCAAACTTCTCAATCTATGCACCAGATTCAATAAATCTAATTAATAATCAATCTAATTATTAATCTAATCAATAATTCAATAATTTAATTAAATAATCAAGATAATCACTGAACTTTTTCTAGCAGCCATTTCTGTAAGAAAAAAGCGGCAAAAAGTGAAGTTTGAGTGCTAATACCACGTGCCTTCAAATGCTGCAATTTAGTGGACAACTGAAGATATCTGTTGGCCAAAATGTAAACTAAACACCTAATACTGTATATAATTTATTTCAATGGTTAAACGGGGAAAATCGGGATGCGCTCCTCAATAAAGGAAGAAAAACATATGCCCGCGGAAATCGTGGGATGAGCAAATTTTGCTACATTTGAGTATCGCGAGATGATCAGCCAGAGGGTTAATGTCTCCAGTTTAATGAGTATGTGTTAATACATTTTATATTTCTCCACAAAATTGTGCAATTACTGAACTTTACTTTTGGGTAGAGAAAAATTTTTAATGATATATTTGTACGCTTTCCATTGTTTAAGAAATTGCATGTGCTTAACGAAGCTCTTATTTGAATTCTGTTGTGAAATTGTACTGAAAAAATTTTTATCAAAAAATTCAGATTTATTCTAGCAATTCTTGTTAAAATTTTTTACAAATAAAATAATTTTATAGCACAAGTGTGCTATATATGGCATTATAGTTTTTCTTTTTATATTATTAAGTTTGTTATTATTTGGAGATGTTTTATTCAATATTTCAGTGCATTTTTATATTTATTTGGAAATAATGTAACAGAATTGGAAATATTCTAGTCCAGTGGTCTGAAACTGAAATTGCATGTGGGCTGAATGCATGAAAGCAGCTGAAGGGTTCATTTTTTGTTTCCCATTAGTGAAAAGGTTTTTCTTTTAACCAAAAAAAAAAAAAAAATCTAGACGTTTATCAAAACATATATAAACAATTATAATAACGACACAAAGGAAAATATTTCAATTAATATTTATCTTCTCTTTGAAATTTAAAAGTTGATATCTGCACAAAATTTTGATGTAATTTGAACATATTGACGATTAAATATTTAATTTTCAGACTGATATTTGTTTCAAATAATTCTAATCTTTTGAATGAGCTACTAAATAACTATTTACTTAAACTAAAAATAGAAAAATTACAAAATCTTTGTAAGTGGGACAAAACTTGAGAATAAGCAATCACAATCTATTCTCTTTTACATTTTTATTTATGAAATTTTTCTTTTGGATGCAGAAAATAACATGTATTTGTCGGTAAGTAATTGTAAACTTATATTTCTCTACCATACCTCAAATCATTTCGATTGTAATAAAGTTAGTAACCTGGAAGAAAAATTTGAAACTATCTTCATCACAAGATGTAGACACTTATTAGTGAATCTGGCTCTTTTTTTTAGACTTACAAATGTACTCTCAAAGTAATAATTCGTATTGCAAAAATTCTTAACTGAGGTATTTATCTTCAGACAAGTTTGAAAAAGTCAATTAAATCTGTATCTTCAAATCTATGAATTGTATTGATATGAGAGTGTAAATTAATTAGCTTCATTTATTGATTTTATGGGCATTACTCATGTTTTGTTTCACTGGTAATGAAAATTATGTCAAAATTGGGCAGCAAATTGCTAAAGTCAAACCTCCTTTCTTTAAATTCTTGTCATAATTAAAAAAATAATATCATAAATTTGCTTTGGGGGCCCTCAGTTTAAGACCACTGTTCTAGTCCGTGTTATATGGTTTTCAAATTGAAGAGTTAATTCTGGTGGCAACAGCAAAAGAACAATATAATTAGATTATTAATGTTTTAAGCAGAGCAAAAGAAGCATCAATATTTTTTTTGTAAAGCATATTTAACTTTTGATAGAAATAATTTTCAAAACTTTTCATGAATAAATTATTAAATTTTTTATTATATGCTCTACTAAAAAATAAGTGTATTTTATATGTATAAGTGTGTAAATCAGTGTTTCTTTTATCATCTGGTTTGATAGTCGGGTTAATTTCTCATTTCCCTGAGGTCTTTAAAAAAATAGGAAACTTTTGGCAGCTTTGGTTAGTACATATTCTAAGTGGCTCTGTAATAGTATTTGCAACAAGAAAGAGTTATTTTAGGGAAGAGCTTATATGCAATTGTTATTGAATTGTCATAAAGGAAAAATTGTTACAGAATGAAAAATGGGGCAGAAAATGTTAAAACTGTTCTTGTGTTTGCTTAAGGAAATCTGTTATCAATATAAAACTTCTGTTATTAGTCTTGCTAAGAAAACTTTGCTGTATGAAAATGTTTTGTTTCAATAAAATTCTAAAGTCAGTTGTTCAGTATGTTTTCTTGTGTAAATACTTTCTTTCAGCTGGAAGTGATGTAGTACTTTGAAGTCACATTTTTCTTGAATGAAGCAATGCACTAAAACTGTTCTAATGGCATTTTATTCTGTCTTCTCAAATATGCTGTGTAAAGTTACACTTTTTCTGGTATATTCTTCATATAGCTTTTGTGGCTTCATTAATTTGTCGTATGTTTTGAAGTGCATAACTCTTGGATGAAAGATCTCATTAGTTTTGTCCTTAGGTCAATAGTTCTCAATACATTACAGTTTATTCCATGCATTTTCAGGACAAACTCTGTGGAATATATTGAATAGTTCCTTTTTTCATCAAGGAATGGATTTAAGGATAATATTCACCTGTTCAATTTCACAGATTTCCCATTCTTTAAACTTGATACTTCATCAGGAAATTCAGAATGTTGTAAAGTTCTTACTATCGAACAACTCGCATTATTAAGTTCTGTACTAACAAGACATCCTCATGTTATAGAAGTATGCTTCAAACAGTTGTTATAAATCTTAAACAATAAGCAAAGATATGGTATCATTTTGACCAAGATGAAAATTTGCAAAGATAAGTCATCACCAGTTTTAGCAAAATTGGAAAATCGTTTTTCCTTGTCTGCTTCTTGTCTGTTGAATTTTAATGTCCATTCGTTCATCCAATACAAATTCCAAATAATAATTCTGTAACTGGAAGGTCCATTGAACCACTGATTGCAATTAATTAATTCATTAGGTTGTATATCTCTAGCACCATAAACAGCAAGATTATATTTTCCTTGAAAAGTGATTCCATTTAATCTCAGGAATGATGGCTACAAAAGCAAGCCATGCAGAATAAGGTGATAGCAGAATCTGACCATGCAAAACAATTACTAAGCAGCAACATTCAAACATTTCGTCACCACGTTGCTTAGATTTGCTAATAATAATTCAACATACAGTTCTAGTCTTGATAAAGATCTCACTTTAAAATGTGCAACTTTTGTTTCTGCACATATCAATGACACTTAAATTTCTTCAGAAAACAATTTAGCATAAATAAGAACAATATGCCTTCTCAGATGAATCACTAAAGGCTTGTGAGTCTGTCTTATGATAATTATCAACTAAAACCATTCTAGAAATTTCAAAGAATTTCGTAACTTTTGATAGCACATTCCTTTTAGTGACAATGAAAATTACAGAAGGTAGTGTGTTAAAATCAAATGTGTGTCTGTTGGAAATGCTAGTTTATTACCAACACCTTTCTTGGTTGTCCCTTGAAAATGTCCGACTGAACGAACATTTCTCAGAGCTCTTGTGGCAGTTTCTAATAGTACATCAGGTATGTTGGATGATCATTTCTGCTGGATGACGATACTTGTACACAGAAGATTATCTATGTTATGAATTAAATTTTTAGCAGTAGTTCTTGATGTAGTGCCTGTTAAAAGACC